TTGTGTGTGTGTGTGTGTGTGTGTGTGTGTGTGTGTGTGTGTGTTGCAAGTATTTTTTGAGGGGGTTGTCATTTTAACAAGCAATCCACATGATTCAGAATATAGATTCAATGGACCTTATAGAGAAATATCATATATAGAACTTATAAAATATTAAAATTCTATGGCCAAGAGGATTGGGAATTTAAATCACCATATTTCTATTTATAAAAGTTCGAAAATAATTGATCGGTCTAGGAAAAAAAAGAGTCTACATGTTATACGTTTAGCACAGATTAGTTGATTACATCTTCGCCACACCCCTCTGAGGTAACCAGGGTGGGTGATATTATTTTGACTTTTCCGATAAGGAAATTAATGCAGGTTAAGTGATTTACCAAAAGTTAGGAAGCTAGTTGGGACAGGTCTCTTGACGTCAGAAAAGATGTCATCTCCTCTGACACTCCTAAAGTGAAAAGCTCTGAGAAATAACATGAAGAAAATACAAGCACATCTCCTGACCCAGTTTTGCATCAAATTTTCCTCATCTCTCTAATTCAAAACTCTACTTCAGCAGGCAACTTTGAACTACAGGAAGCTTGTCATTTTCCACTGTCAAGGAATGGCTTTGGGGACCCATTACAGAGCAGCTTATAACCCCTGGTCACGCTATTGGGAAAAAGAAAAACACATGGTCTCCTACGGTAAAACATCGTCACATGCATTTTCCCCAGCTGATGGCCATGGTATCACCCCCCCAGGACAGGCGTAGCATGAATTTTAGATTCTCTTCGGATCTAACTTTGGCCGAGAAAAATGGGAAAACGAGGCGTCTCTTAAACGCCCACGAATGTTGCATATTTTCAGGAGAGGAAGTGTATGGACGACTTCTTTGATTTCAGAAACTTCCGCTGGGACTTCCTGGCTCATTGTCTGGCCGGTTCACACACCGGATCGTGAGGTGCTTTAGGGAAGAAAGATAAAGACCCTTTGACAGTGGAAAACGACTCTCATTCTATGCCTTCCGTCCTCTCCCCTCCAGGGAAAACCTGCCTTCTCCCTCGTGAGAAAAACGCCAAATATAATGGACGAGACAAAGAAATATTTAATCAGCTCCGTTTAGGAAACCCCAGCAGGAACAATGCACCTTTTCAGCGGTTTATGATGTTATGAACAGACAACTTATGAATAGACAACGTCTTGTGTGCTGAGTCTGTCTCCGGCTCCTGGGTGAGAAATGCCGTTTGCCGTGAGACACTAGTTTCATTCTAGAGCTCAAAGGAACCATGTTCACTTGCCAAAAACCTGCTGCTTCATGAGCTACAAAAAAAAATGGTGTATGAAAATCACTAGAAATGTTCTTAAAATTATGATGATGAGGAGGAGGATGATGATGATGAAGCAGCCTTTTCCCAGAGCGCCCCTTACTCGTAAGCCCTCAGCGACTGTCTCAGTCAAAATGCCACAGAAGGGGTGGCTTATCAGCAACAGAAACTGCTGGAGGTCAGAGATTGGGGTGCCAGTACGGTCGGGTTCTGGTGGGGACCCTCTTCAGGGCTGCAGACATCTCGTACCCTTAGCATGGCAGAAAATGAGTGAGCCAGCTCCTTGGCCTCTTCCTGTTGGGGCGCTAACCCCATTCATGACGTAATCACCTCCCAAAGACCCTGCCTCCAACCCTGTCACCCTGGGGGTTAGGGCCCCAGCATGTAAAATTGAGGGGGATACATTCAGTCCAATCTAGAACCAAAGGGATGGGCATGGCTTGGGCATATTTTCGACAGTCCCCCCAAAACGCCAACTCCTGTTACTGACTACAGCTGAGCCCAGCTTCCATCTTTCTTTACAAATGCATATAATTCCTCTGGAGGCAGCAGCAAGCCTTTCTGAGAATTCAGGCTAGTTTTAGCCACTTTCCACCCACGCGATTTTTCAAAAGCATTAATTATTATTATTTTTTAATACTTTCCTACCAGTTTTCAAAGAATGACCAATCCGTTGGGTGGCAGACACCAAGTGAAAGAGTATTAAAGTTGGCTCAGGATTGTTTTTTTTTTTTTGGCAGTCTGTCCCCACCCAGAATTCTCCCATGAAGAAGGACTGCAAGTAATAAACAGCTTTTAGACGCAGACAGTGCATCGCCCACTCCGAAATCCTATGACACAAAGACTATACATCAGTTATCTTATTCAGCATCTGATGAAAACCTTGGCCAGCCATATTCAATTTCAAAACATCGTTCACCTCATGGAAACCAACTGACCAACAAAAAAGTTAAAACGACACGGTTTAAGTAAAAAAAATAAAAGTTTTTCTACCAAAGCGATGTGTGATTTAATACACAATTTCTTTGCTTTTGGATGGTAGAAATCGCTCATTAAATTTCTTTAAAACATCCCCAACTATGGAAATTTCACCATGAAGCTGAGCCTTCGAAATCGCACAGGTCAGCGTGGGACTTGCGGCCTGTTGGGGACTGTGAGGCATGCGCGGTCCCCGCATTTGGAAAGTCAACCTCTCGATGGAAGTGAGAGTCAGCGACCAGCCCAACTCATGCACATTGGAGCCGGGGTGGCTGGTACAGGCGAGGGGGGCTTACCGGGGGTCTCTGTTAAAGGCACTGGGACGGGCTCTCAAGGAAGTCGACTGGCTCCATTGGCCATCACACAGCAGCGGGCCCATCCTGTGAGCTGTCACCCTCCTCTAATTTAGACAACCATCTACAGCAGCCGGCTACAGTCCCTTTCATTGTTCTACACGGTAAAATTCCCAAATGGAATATTTGTCAGACCTCACCCGCCCTTAACCAGAGGGAAGGAAAGTGGGGCAGATAATTCTAGGTGCTGACGCCTTACCGAGTGGTCACCGTCGTTGTGAATACTGTTCTTAGTTTGCTTTTCGGGGACACGTCATATTGTTTTAAAATATAACAAATATTTCCTTAAATGTACAAAGTCTCTGCTTGGACATGCTCATTACACTATATGGAAACGTCCTCAATTCATTCAGCGCTTTGTGATTTTCTCTGGTGCTTGGGTTTGGAAAAGAACTGAGAAGTGAGTATGTGCTTGTCCTCGTCCTTACAGAAAGCAGACATGCGTCAGGGGACACAGAAGCCCACTCCTGCTCAGCACCCACACAGAGAGGAGGCCCCGGGCACCCCGGGGTGCATCAGTTGACTGATTCACCAAGTAAAAAAGGCAAACAGTGTCACCCCCAGATACGGCCACTGGACGCACACCTGGGCTGGTGTAGACCCATGAGTTTTGGCTCATTTCTGCCGAGTAAGCGAGGCGAAGGAAGCAGCCAAAAGCTCCACACACAGGTCTGCCCCTGAAATAAATATCCCTGGCCAGGACCACTGGTGGCACAGTGGAAACCCACAGCCACTGTCTTCTTTCTCTCAGGTCCCGTCCCACTGCACCAGAATCCTCACACAAATGTGTGGGACGCACCCACGAAACAGCCAGGGGACCCAGCACAGGTCCTCTGCAAACAGCTGCCCCTAGAGCCGAGGGTGCTCACACTGGCCTGGAGAGAGGACCAGGCAGGCCTGTGAAGTGGGCCGTTGTCTGTTTGGGGGAAGAACTGAGGGTCCGAGGAACCCATGGAATGGACTGGAAGTGTGGGTGTCGACTCTGTGTACCACGGGCGTCTCACCCTGTGAATGGGGCATAGCAGGCTGGAGATGGCCAGTACAGAGGCCTCGAAAGCATAGGCCAGGGCAGCCCCTTGGTGGGGTCTCGGGCAGTGCTGGCTGTGGGCCTGTGGGTTGGCCTGGGTTCTCTTTGTAAACTGAGTAGGTTGGAACCCCAGATTGCCAAGCTCCTCTCCAGCCCTGATACTGTGGGACTCTAATACCCAGCCTGTCACTGTCGATGGCTCAGTCTCCAACACCAGACAGAGATAATGTAAAACCAAATAAAATATAAAATAAAATTCAAACGAGGGTAACACTTTTCAATCTCAGCCTCTCTAGTTCAAGAGATGAACAATGAGATATTCTGAATAATTAACGATCTGGTTAATAGAGTTGTTAGATTTCTCTTTCATAGGCGACTAATTATCAACTAATCAGAGTATAATAATACATTTAACCCCCAAACGACAATCGATCAACACATCTATTGGATTTGGAGCGACTCAAAACACCTCCAGCTTTCTAAGGGCTGGGAACTGCACACACCAGAACTGTATCATTAACCCAGATTCATTACGGAAACGCGAACGTGCCAGGTCCGTCAGAGGATTTCGGTCAATGACTTTGACAAGAGTTAAAATTTCAAATGCCATCTCTGTGGACTGGACAACCACTCTCAGTTGCTCTGATGTGGCATGTTTCTCTCTGGACATATTTTGAAGGCAGCAGGCAACACCAGCCCCTCCTGAAGCTCATCATTGTCACCAGACACAGAACCCCCCGCATGGAAACGCATCGGTGTCGTGAGACCCGCAAAGTCCACTCACAGTTGGGAGCACTGACCTGTCCTTTCATATCTGGAGCAATAGGAATGGTGGGCCAGAAGGTTGAGTAGACACCAAAGAACACCAGCCAGATCAGCACGCTTCCCCAGACAGCCAGGTGACTGAACTGCAGAAGAAAACGCACACTCAGGCATGGCCTCGCTGCTGGCCCGGGGAGGCCACCCTCAGAGTCCCCTGTGCCCCAGCCAGCTTCCCTCATGGAAAGATTTTGACGGCTCTCCCGTCTTGGAGAGTTCATTCTGTCTTTCCGTTTTCATTGTTTTTGCAATGGATTTGAGTAACTAGTGGGCCCGAGCTACCCTGAAGGTGATGGAGCCCTGGCTGTCACAGTTGACCTCCCCCCATGCGACTCCCGGGCCTCGCCAGGTGCTCCCATCCCGATCTGCACAGAACGAGGTCTCAGTAATTCAGTAAGAGCGCGCGACCAACGGTCAAAACGAACAGGAGGCTTTTATTGATCATTCTGAGGCTTCGACTGTTCTTTTCATTTTCGAAAGAACTTAAAAAAAAATCTAGAATGAATGTTATATCTTAACGATCCCCCCTTTAAGCAGCTGCGGAAGTTTTTGTTTGTCCCCTGAATGTGATGAGACTTGACTTCTTCCTCACTTCCGCCTTCCATGACCTAACCCATCGCCAAGGTCTGTTTGTTAGCCTTTTAAAACAAAACACATCTAGCATCTTAGCACTTCTCGCTACCTCCTTCTCTAAGGTCCCAGGCTGAGCTACCTTCACCTCTCACCTGGGTTAATTGTCATTGTCTCTCAATGGAGTCCCTGACTCCATATCGATCTCCAACCCCTCCCCCACTATCTCGGCACAGGATTAGGAGCCTATGTGAACAGCAGTGACAGAAAATCATGAAACAATGGTTATAATCCCCAAACATCGGAAATAACCCAAATGTCTAAAATTGGGGACTGATTAAATAAGTGACTGGATATCAATAAAACTTAATACCCTTTAGTTGTGAACAACGATTTTGTAGAAGTATACTTTAAGGGATGACAAATGTTCATGATATGCATTTTAAGTGAAAGAAGATTATAAAACTACATGTTCGTAATGCATTATCTTTTAAAAATACACACAGAGCAAAGCACGGAAGGTCGTACAGCAAAGTATTAACAGTAACTGTCTTAGTACGATTATGTAAATTAAAAATTCTTTTTGTCCCATATTTTGTGTGTGTATTTTTTTTTTTACAACGTGCATACACGTTTGCACATATACATTTGAAATGAAATGAGTATTAATAGCTTGGACTTGTATTAAGTGTCAAGGAAATGACTCATGAGGAGATTTTGGATTGCGAATTTGCCCGGATAAAGAGCAAACCACAATTTTCACATGCAAAATTTAAAATAAGATAGCTGGATATTGTTTATTGTTTTTCCAAGAAAGGCTTAAAAAGATATCATACCAGAAAAAAAATATCTATACCGAATTGAGAAATAATTCTAGAGAAAACTTACTTTAGTCCAAGCCGTGGTCTCCAAACCAGCTTTCAGACAAACGGTGACAACGACGTACTGTGAAAAGACAGAAGCATTTGGAACACATATTATCTTCAGGAAGCTATTTTTATTTTCCAGGAGAAACCTCTACTCTCCCCTCCAGGCAGTCTCTCCAAGGCAGTCGTGGTTTGTGCTTTGAAAGTGCCATCTCAAAAGCTAAATCTCCAGGAGTGAGTTTTAGGGACATCCAGGCAGCTTTACCTCAAGAAAGGTGGTCATTTTACTGACTAGCTTCTCACAAGGAATGGCTACTTTTGCTCTTTACTTACGTTGGAAGATTCGGGAGAGATCAGCTTTCCTCGGTGTTGTTTCTGTGAAAGGGTCATTTGGAGAATGGGGAACTGAGTAAATCACCTGTCCAGAGATCCTGACTCTGCATCATCTCCACTAATACAGGAGGTGAGTGTGTCACAACCATTCGGAGCTTTAAGGAGTCTAGATTATGTGGTTTAAGGATTAGAAATAAATGAGAATGGGGAAGGCCTTATGTAAAAGGTTTCGAGAGGCAGAATCCACGTGCGTGCCGTTTAAGAATGGTTCCGTAAGCAGGGAAATAAACTTACTGTGTAAACAATATTTCCGACAAATAAATAGTCTGAGGCATGACCATTGGCCAACGCGGTATCTGAAAAACAAAGAAGTTACTGTTAACCTCTGGAGCACAGTATTGCAGGTCATTTTATTCAGAATGTAAAAACAACAACAACAACAACAAAAACACAAAAACCAAAAAAACTTTAAAACGTTTATGAAAATGTAAGGGAATTTTGAAAACTACATTATCTGTGATTCTAATGCCTCTTCTTTCTAACTGAATTTTTTCCCATAGTATATTTTCTGCAAATGAAGCAAACAAAATCAGGTTTGCGACAAACCAACCAACCAATCAGACAGTTGCTCGGCATTGAAATTTACAGTTTTATAATGGTTAAAATCTCCCTTTACTGGGCTAAAAAAATAGAAACACAATAAGAACATATTGACCTATGTTTATTAATGCCAGTATTAGGCCTTTTCCAAGGGTTTATTTACTATTCATGCTTAATTTTTGCTAATTTGGAATTATAGGCCAATAAAAAAAGATAACTACAGGAATACAAAATCAATTCGTGATTACTGAGTTCTAAGAATTTTGGAGGATATTCTTTAACCTTGTTCACAAATGCAACTGCACGAACTTCTAGAGTCTGTAAATTGAGGAAATGCAAACGACCGGATGAGAGACGACTAGAAAATACAACTAGGATTCTGAAGCTTTAATTTTCATATCTTTTCCTCTTGTTTAAGGATGACTATTATACTGTATGGAACCATCATTAAGGCAGAACTTTAATAGGATTGTCTAATTCATGTCAGCAAGCCTGCTGTGAAAATGCTGGTTTTTATCCCGAGGGAGTCAAAGCCTGCTTTAGGATCAGAAGTAGTTTCTTTAGGTGACAATGCCAATCTCCTTCTATTCTCTTTTATGCTCAAATTCAGATCTGTGGCCTACAGCCTATGTGCATGGGGATTTTTGTGTTCAACTTTAAAGCCAGTGGCTGCTACCCACATGCATTAGGGCTCACCGATTTACCCATCTGCTCGTTGAAGATTACTACTCAAGAATCAAGATCTGCTCAGTTTTTTAAAACATGGTCATAATTAAGTCACATCACAGGTAGGACCTGGCAATCCCGGAGCCCTGGATCCAGCTTCAGGGCACACCCATCCTCCTCATTAGAGAAAGGTAGATTCGTGGATCAGAAAAGGTTACCCTGCAAAGCGATCATGGCTATAGCACGTGCAGACCTGAACAAAGGGATTTGAAAACTTAAGGGTTAACCTAGGAGAACAGAGGGAGCAGAGATATGATCACAGACTGAAAAGGGAAGGATCTCAAAGCTGAGGGGAGAGGCGGTGAAGAGAACCTGAAGCTTAGCCAGGGTTTCATCAAAAGGGAAGGAAGGAAAAAATTCAAAAGGTAACGAAGAAGCTAAATTAACCTCAAGAAAGCAACAGGTTGACGTATTAGTGAACTAGCCATTCAAAACTGTGGAGGTGCACTTTTTGGTAACTGGCCCTAAGATTGTTTTAATAATAAAGGTGACACTTTTAAAGGCATGGCTCGATGAAGAAACACTTGACGTTAGACAGGCGGCCATTTCTTTGATTCTAACATAGATTATTGGCTTGAAAGGGGTAACATTACGCTTTCATTCACGCAATGAATATTTATGTGAAGCCTACTTTGTGCCAGATATTATTACAGGAACTAGGGTGACAAGGTCCCTGTGTCAGGGGGCTCTCACTGCACTGAGGGACACAGCAATGAACACACGAGCAAATAGATAGTCAACAAAATGCCAGGTGCGGTAAGTGCTCCAGAGAAATAGAAGGTAGGTTAACGAAACAGTGTGGCGGGGGCTGCTATTTTAGATAGGGAGTTCGAGAAAAATCTTTGTGAGAAGGTAACATCCGAGCAGATCTGAGTAGTAGGAAGAAGTGATTATCGAGGGGAAGAGTGCTCCAGGCAGAGAGACGCTGCCACCCGTCTGCATGTAGACATCGACGAGCTCAAGGACCACCACAGGGTCCGGTTGGGCTGGAGACCCTGAGCGAGTGCTCGGACAGTTAGAAGGGGCAGGTTAACATGGGCCACGGTGAGGAGTTGGGGTTTTGTTGCTAATTGCAGCAGGAAACCACCGGGGGATCCTGAGTAGAGAGCGAATTGGCATGAGTTACACTTTAAGGGAACGGTCGGCTTTCACGGAAGCTTAGATCTTGGAGAAACCAAAACCGGAGTACCAGTAAATGCGGTGTGGAAATGATTGTAGCGATCTGTCCATGAACCTTGAGCATCTTATGCTGAGTGCAAGAAGCCGGTCACAAAAGGCCAGCTACTCTATGATGCCACTTGTATGGACTGTTCAGAATAGACGAATCTGTAGAGACAGAAAGTAGATCAGTGGTTGTCAGGAGCTGGCGGAGGAGGGTGACACTGTTGGCGTGTAGAGCTGTGTCCGATATGGTAGTCACTGGCTGCTGTCGTTGCTTACATTCAGATTAATTAAAATAGAATAAAAATGTAAAAACTCAGTTCCTGCCGGGGGCTGGGGAGGACAGGGAGAATGAGGAATTATTGCTTGATGCACAGAGTTTCAGTTTAGGGTGATGAAATAAGTGTGGAATAGATAAGGGTGATTGATGGCTGTGCAATGCTCTGAGTGTAATTAATGTTCTCTGAACTATACACTTAAAATAGATCGTAGAAAAACACTGCACGACTCTTAAAAGAAAACGTAGGAGTAAATCTTTATAACCTTAGATTTGGCAGTGGGTTCTTAGATGTGACACCAAAATTATAGTGACATAAATAAATAGATAGATAGATAGATAGATAGATAGATAGATAGATAGATAGGACTTCATCAAAAATGGAAGCTTTTGTCTTCAAAGGA